TCTGTGTTCTGTTAGTGAGGAAATTATAGATCCATCGACCGACTTTTCCTGTTAATTTCCTTTAGCGCGCATATTGTGCGCTATTACGCCATGGTCACACTTGTCGAAGGCTTTTGCAAAGTCTGTATATATTACATCTGCATTCTTTTTGTCTTCTAGTGCATTTAGGACCTTGTCGTAGTGATCCAGTAGTTGAGACAGACAGGAGCGACCTGTTCTAAACCCATGTTGCCCTGGGTTGTGTAACTGATGGGTTTCTAGATGGGTGGTTTGATCTTGCTTCTTAGACCCTTTCAAAGATTTTTATGATATGGATGTTAGTGCTATTGGTCTGGTAGTTCTTTGCTGTTGCTTTACTGCCCCCTTTGTGGAGTGGGGCTATGTCTGTTGTTTTTAGTAACTGAGGGACGACCCCCCGTGTCCATGCTCCCTCTCCATAGGATGGAAAAAGGCTCGTGATAGGGGCTTCTTGCAGTTCTTGATGAACACAGAGTTCCATGATTCTGGCCCTGGGGCAGAGTGCATGGGCATTCATTTTATCGCCTGTTCGAAGTCATTTGGCGTCAGGATAACATCGGATAGGCTTGTGTTAATCAAATTTTGTGGCTCTCTCATAAAAAATTCATTTTGATCTTCGACTCTCAGTCTGGTTAGCGGCTTTGCTAAAAACTGAGTCATATTGGGACTTGAGTAGCTCACTCATTTCCTTGCTGTCATCTGTGTAGGACCCATCTTGTTTAAGTAGGGGCCCAATACTGGACGTTGTTCTCGATTTTGATTTGGCATAGGAGAAGAAATACTTTGGGTTTTCTTTCGATTTCATTTATGGCTTTTAGTTTCTTCCCGCGATTCCTGACTCCTAAAGGATTCTTTAGCTTAAGTTCGATGCTTGCTATTTCTCTGACCAGTGTCTCCTGCGCATTTCAGATATATTGACCTCTTTTAGCCGCTCTGTTATTCTTTTCCGTCGCCTGTAAAGGAGCGCCTGTCCTCTTTCATTTTACATCTACTCCTCCTTTTTCTTTGAGGAATAAGTCTTGTGCATACATCGAGTGCCACCGAGTTAATCTGTTCTAGGCATAAGTTTGGGTCTGGTGTTGCTTAGTATATCTTCCAGCTTATATCGGTTAGGACTTGGTTTACTTGGTCCCACTTTATGTTTTTGTTATTGAAGTTGAATTTGGTGAATGCTCCCTCGTGACTAGTCTCATTTTGTCGGTCTGGGGGCTCCACGCATACATGTCTGAACCTCAATTATGTTGTGATCTGAGTATATTGTTTTTGATATGGTGACATTTCTTATCAGATCATCATTGTTAGTGAAGATGAGGTCTAGTGTATTCTCCAGTCTAGTAGGCTCTATTATTTGCTGGTTTAAATTGAATTTTGTGCAGAGATTTAAAAGCTCGTGTGAGTGTGAGTTTTCATCAGAGCTGCCTCCTGGTGTTTATTACTGCAACAATATTATTTGCTATATTCCTCCATTTTAGGTGCCTTAAGTTGAAGTCCCCCAGGAGCAAGATGTTGGGTGCAGGAGCTGGAAGATTTTCCAGACAGTGGTCAATTTTTAACAGCTGTTCCTGGAATTGCTGGGATGTTGCATCCGGAGGCTTGTAGACTACCACAATGACTAGGTTTTGGTTCTCGACCTTTACTGCTAAAACTTCCACTACATCATTTGAGGCATTAAGCAGTTCTGTGCAAACAAGTGACTCTGCAATGTACAGGCCAACCCCCCCCCCTTTTGCCTGTTCACTTGATAATGGGGAGCACCAGTGTTAGTTTGTTAACATTTCTTCAGACTACAAGTTGGGTTAGGTTAGTTTAAGTTAGGTTAGGTTAGGCTAAGTTAGGTTAAGTCACGTTAGGTTAGGTTAGCTTAGGTTAGGTTAGGTTAGGTTAAGTTAGGTAAGGTTAGGTTAGGTTAGGTTAGGCTAGGTTAGGTTAGGTTAGGTTAGGTTAGGTTAGGTTAGGTTAGGTTAGGTTAGGCTAGGTTAAGTTAGGTTAGGTTAGGTTAGGCTAGGTTAGGTTAGATGAAGTTGGTATATAATAGATTATTTAGTTTAGGGTAGGTTAGATTTGGCTATGTTAGATTAGGTATGGCTAGATTAGGTTAGGTTGCATTAGGTTATGTTAGATTGGGTTAGATTAAATTAATTTAGGTTTGGTTAGGAGTATGCTAATAGACAACACAGTGTCAGAGGCAGTATACATAAGGGGGATTACCAATAGACTCCTGATGTCTTCAAGACCCCTGGCTGTCTTCAAGACCCCTGGCTGTCTTCACGACAACTGGTTGTCTTCAAGACTCCTGGCTGTCTTTAAGATCCCTGACTGTCTTCAAGACCCTTAACTGTCTGCAAGACCCCCTGGCTGTTTTCAAGACCCCCAGGCTGTCTTCAAGGCCCCTGGCTGTCTTCACGACAACTGGTTGTCTTCAAGACTCCTGGCTGTCTTTAAGATCCCTGACTGTCTTCAAGACCCTTAACTGTCTGCAAGACCCCCTGGCTGTCTTCAAGACCCCCAGGCTGTCTTCAAGACCCCCAGGCTGTCTTCAAGGCCCCTGGCTGTCTTCACGACAACTGGTTGTCTTCAAGACTCCTGGCTGTCTTTAAGATCCCTGAGTGTCTTCAAGACCCTTAACTGTCTGCAAGACCCCCTGGCTGTCTTCAAGACCCCTGGCTGTCTTCAAGACAACTGGTTGTCTTCAAGACTCCTGGCTGTCTTTAAGATCCCTGACTGTATTCAAGACCCTTAACTGTCTTCAAGACCCCTTGGCTGTCTTCAAACCCCCAGGCTGTCTTCAAGGCCCCTGGCTGTCTTCAAGACTCCTGGTTGTCTTCAAGACCCCTGGCTGTCTTCAAATGGGAGCTGGACAGACACCTGACCAGACAACCGGTGGCTCCTACATCGGTTTACGTGCGACCAGCAGTAACAGGCTGGTTGATTAGGTCCTGATCCACCATGAGGCTTGGTCATGGACCGGGTCGCAGGGGCGTTGACTCCCGTCACCCCCGTCCAGGTAGGTATATGTAGCAAAATTCATTGTTTTCAATCTCAGGGCTGTAAGTTGAACACACTGGAGGTAGTGATGGTCTACCTGGAGGGGTCAGCGCCCCCGCGGCCCTGTCCATGACCAGACCTCGTGGTGGGTCAGGACCTGATCAACCAGGGTGTTATTACAGGCCGCACGTAAACCAACGCGGTGGGGGTAAACATCTTACACAGCTTCAGGGGTAGGTATGACTCCTGAAAGCCATGAATCACCTGTCTGTTCCCATCTCACCTGATAGTGATAATAATAACTATTAACATAAGTACAGCTGTACAACTGAGTAAAGAGGCGGGACCAGGAGCTATGAATCAACCCTGCAACCACAGTTAGGTGAGCACATAAAGCCTATGGTTAGCACATTATTTCAGGCCACTTTAAAACTAACATTTATTTAGTTAGGTGTCTCGTAGCTGGGTTGGTAGCGCACTCAGCTCACACACTGAGGTCCATGGTTCGATCCCCGGTACGGGTGGCGTGTTTGCTTAAGACGCCTGTTGTCCATGTTTAGTAGACTAACATGTTTGTTCTGGGACAAGATTAAAGGAACTATAATGAACATATGACTTGTTCTTGACGCACTGACTGGTACTAACATGAGATGAAATCTCTGGACTCTGGTATTAACATATGACACGACAGCTCTGGACTCTGGTATTAACATATGACACGACAACCCTGGACTCGAACATTAACTAGAGACAGACAGCCCTGGACTCTGGTATTAACATGAGACACAACCCTGAACTCTGGTATTAACAAGAGACACTGATATTAACAAGAGACAGACAGCCCTGGACTCTGGTATTAACAAGAGACAGACAGCCCTGGACTCTGGTATTAACAGAGACAGACAACCCTGACTCTGGGTATTAACAAGAGACAGACACCCTGGACTCTGGTATTAACAAGAGACAGACAGCCCTGGACTCTGGTATTAACAAGAGACAGACAGCCCTGGACTCTGGTATTAACAAGAGACAGACAACCCTGGACTCTGGTATTAACATGAAACACGACAACCCTGGACTCTGGTATTAACAAGAGACAGACAGCCCTGGACTCTGGTATTAACAAGAGACAGACAGCCCTGGACTCTGGTATTAACAAGAGACAGACAGCCCTGGACTCTGGTATTAACAAGAGACAGACAAGCCCTGGACTCTGGTATTAACAAGAACACGACAACCCTGGACTCTGGCTATTAACAAGAGACAGACAGCCCTGGACTCTGGTATTAACAAGAGACATACCCCTGGACTCTGGTATTAACATGAAACACGACAGCCCTGGACTCTGGTATTAACAAGAGACAGACAGCCCTGGACTCTGGTATTAACAAGAGACAGACAACCCTGGACTCTGGTATTAACATGAAACACGACAACCCTGGACTCTGGCATTAACAAGAGACAGACAGCCCTGGACTCTGGTATTAACAAGAGACATACAGCCCTGGACTCTGGTATTAACATGAAACACGACAACCCTGGACTCTGGCATTAACAAGAAACAGACAGCCCTGGACTCTGGTATTAACAAGAGACAGACAACCCTGGACTCGGGTATTAACATGAAACACGACAACCCTGGACTCTGGTATTAACAAGAGACAGACAGCCCTGGACTCTGGTATTAACAAGAGACAGACAGCCCTGGACTCTGGTATTAACAAGAGACAGACAGCCCTGGACTCTGGTATTAACAAGAGACAGACAGCCCTGGACTCTGGTATTAACAAGAGACAGACAACCCTGGACTCTGGTATTAACAATGAAACAGACAACCCTGGACTCTAACATTAACACGAAACAGAGTACACTATCAGAGGTGATAACAGTAACATACGTGGCACTCGTATACTACTGGAGAAGGAACAGTGCCTCGATAGTGCCTCGACAGTGCCTCAACAGTGCCTCGTCAGTGCCTCAACAAAACTGTCTTCACCTGACACTATGAAACAGTTTTAATACGATAATTAAATAAATAAATTTAAGATGCGAACCTTACGATAAATAATTGTTATAATTTCAGTGTAGATAATTGTCTATATAGAGTAGCAATGATCTCTGCTACAAGGCTCTTATTTTATTCTAGTCTGGAGGATTTTAATAATATTTGAGTACTGATAAATTCATTTATAAATTGAATCACAAGTGTAGTTATAAAACAGGAAAATATATATATAGTTCTGAGATAAGTAAAAATAATATTGATCAAGATGACTACAAAGGCAACTTCGCAAGGGGGCGGGGATATTTTTTTAGCGAGATAGTATTTAATGTAGCAGCTTCTGTAGAAGAGATCAGTGAGAGGTGAGAGAAGGAAGTAGTGAGTGAGGTAATAGAAGTGAGGAAGGTGAAGGAGGGAGGTAGATATCAAAGTGAGGGTGACATCTAAGTAGATATTGAGACGCCGCTGGTAAACAATGGCAGCATCAGCTGACGTGTGGTAATGTACTCTTATATTCCTCTCTGAAAACCTCTCATTACCTCCTACCCGTGGCCTCCTTCTGTGCCTACTGCTGCTGACCTCATCATGGAGTCTTCCTATAACTCCCGCTGCCCAGGTAACTAACAATTTACAGGTAAAAACTGCCATTTCTCCACCTCCCCCCCCCTCACTGATGACGTCCGAGTCCGCTTCAGTAAATTTGTATCTTAAGTTTATTCAGGTATACACAAATACAGTTACAAAAATTATCATACATAGCAGCATATGTGTACAGAACCTGAGATAACACAAAAAAGTCAGTGACTTATTTTCATGTATATATGTATCTTTGTATATGTGTATCTATGTATTTATTTATTAACACACTGGCCGATTCCCACCAAGGCAGGGTGGCCCGAAAAAGAAAAACTTTCACCATCATTCACTCCATCACTGTCTTGCCAGAAGGGTGCTTTACACTACAGTTTTTAAACTGCAACATTAACACCCCTCCTTCAGAGTGCAGGCACTGTACTTCCCATCTCCAGGACTCAAGTCCGGCCTGCCGGTTTCCCTGAACCCCTTCATAAATGTTACTTTGCTCACACTCCAACAGCACGTCAAGTATTAAAAACCATTTGTCTCCATTCACTCCTATCAAACACGCTCACGCATGCCTGCTGGAAGTCCAAGCCCCTCGCACACAAAACCTCCTTACCCCCTCTCTCCAACCTTTCCTAGGCTGACCCCTACCCCGTCTTCCTTCCACTACAGACTGATACACTCTTGAAGTCATTCTGTTTCGCTCCATTCTCTCTACATGTCCGAACCACCTCAACAACCCTTCCTCAGCCCTCTGGACAACAGTTTTGGTAATCCCGCACCTCCTCCTAACTTCCAAACTACGAATTCTCTGCATTATATTCACACCACACATTGCCCTCAGACATGACATCTCCACTGCCTCCAGCCTTCTCCTCGCTGCAACATTCATCAACCATGCTTCACACCCATATAAGAGCATTGGTAAAACTATATTCTCATACATTCCCCTCTTTGCTTCCAAGGGCAAAGTTCTTTGTCTCCACAGACTCCTAAGTGCACTGCTCACCCTTTAATAGAAATATGTCAAAATAATTAAGCAATAAGCTATTTCCAAAACCACAAAGGAAATAAGTTACATTTTTTGTTATTCTAACGGTAATTTACGCATATATTACTAGGTATGATAATTGTACTTATGTGTACAGTACCTGGAGTTTACCTGGAGAGAGTTCCGGGGGTCAACGCCCCCGCGGCCCGGTCTGAGACCAGGCCTCCTGGTGGATCAGAGCCTGATCAACCAGGCTGTTGCTGCTGGCTGCACGCAAACCAACATACGAGCCACAGCCCGGCTGATCCGGAACTGACTTTAGGTGCTTGTCCAGTGCCAGCTTGAAGACTGCCAGGGGTCTGTTGGTAATCCCCCTTATGTGTGCTGGGAGGCAGTTGAACAGTCTCGGGCCCCTGACACTTATTGTATGGTCTCTTAACGTGCTAGTGACACCCCTGCTTTTCATTGGGGGGATGGTGCATCGTCTGCCAAGTCTTTTGCTTTCGTAGTGGGTGACTTTCGGGGTGCAAGTTCGGTACTAGTCCCTCTAGGATTTTCCAGGTGTATATAATCATGTATCTCTCCTCCTGCGTTCCAGGGAATACAGGTTTAGGAACCTCAAGCGCTCCCAATAATTGAGGTGTTTTATCTCCGTTATGCGCGCCGTGAAAGTTCTCTGTACATTTTCTAGGTCGGCAATTTCACCTGCCTTGAAAGGTGCTGTTAGTGTGCAGCAATATTCCAGCCTAGATAGAACAAGTGACCTGAAGAGTGTCATCATGGGCTTGGCCTCCCCTAGTTTTGAAGGTTCTCATTATCCATCCTGTCATTTTTCTAGCAGATGCGATTGATACAATGTTATGTCCTTGAAGGTGAGATCCTCCGACATGATCACTCCCAGGTCTTTGACGTTGGTGTTTCGCTCTATTTTGTGGCCAGAATTTGTTTTGTACTCTGATGAAGATTTAATTTTCCTCATGTTTACCATATCTGAGTAATTGAAATTTCTCATCGTTGAACTTCATATTGTTTTCTGCAGCCCACTGAAAGATTTGGTTGATGTCTGCCTGGAGCTTTGCAGTGTCTGCAATGGAAGACACTGTCATGCAGAATTCGGGTGTCATCTGCAAAGGAAGACACGGTGCTGTGGCTGACATCCTTGTCTATGTCGGATATAAGGATGAGGAACAAGATGGGAGCGAGTACTGTGCCTTGTGGAACAGAGCTTTTCACCCGTAGCTGCCTCGGACTTTACTCTGTTGACGACTACTCTCTGTGTTCTGTTAGTGAGGAAATTATAGATCCATCGACCGACTTTCCTGTATTTCCTTTAGCACGCATTTTGTGCGCTATTACGCCATGGTCACACTTGTCGAAGGCTTTGCAAGTCTGTATATATTACATCTGCATTCTTTTTGTCTTCTAGTGCATTTAGGACCTTGTCGTAGTGGTCCAATAGTTGAGACAGACAGGAGCGACCTGTTCTAAACCCATGTTGCCCTGGGTTGTGTAACTGATGGGTTTCTAGATGCGTGGTGATCTTGCTTCTTAGGACCCTTTCAAAGATTTTTATGATATGGGATGTTAGTGCTATTGGTCTGTAGTTCTTTGCTGTTGCTTTACTGCCCCCTTTGTGGAGTGGGGCTATGTCTGTTGTTTTTTAGTAACTGTGGGACGACCCCCGTGTCCATGCTCCCTCTCCATAGGATGGAAAAGGCTCGTGATAGGGCTTCTTGCAGTTCTTGATGAACACAGAGTTCCATGAGTCTGGCCCTGGGGCAGAGTGCATGGGCATGTCATTTATCGCCTGTTCGAAGTCATTGGCGTCAGGATAACATCGATAGGCTGTGTTAATCAAATTTGTGGCTCCCTCAATAAAAAATTCATTTTGATCTTCGACTCTCAGTCTGGTTAGCGGCTTGCTAAAAACTGAGTCATATTGGGACTTGAGTAGCTCACTCATTTCCTTGTTGTCATCTGTGTAGGACCCATCTTGTTTAAGTAGGGGCCCAATACTGGACGTTGTTCTCGATTTTGATTTGGCATAGGAGAAGAAATACTTTGGGTTTCTTTCGATTTCATTTATGGCTTTTAGTTCTTCCCGCGATTCCTGACTCCTAAAGGATTCTTTTAGCTTAAGTTCGATGCTTGCTATTTCTCTGACCAGTGTCTCCCTACGCATTTCAGATAAATAAACTTACAATGTTTAACTATTGGGGAATCCTAGACTAAACTACGTAATTTACTTCATAAAATCATTGTAAAAGCTTCAGACATATGTGAAACCAAAATAATAATTTACATGCTTACTATTTCCATTGGGATCAATAAATTTTGATGTAGGATAATCTAAAATGTCTGTACAAATTAATTTATAATATTTAACAATGATTTTCAGGGCACACATGTTGTAGATACTACTGTAAAGTATGTTATTCTTAACAATTTTGCAGATGGGCCAAATTATTAACAAACATTATCTCTTGGTCCACAGCAGGATTCGAACTTGTACACTCTGCATCATGTAGTACTGCATATTGTGAAAAACATATCAGAAAAGCAGACTTCCATTCCCAAGACCTCCAAAAAACAAACAAATATTTTAACTATCATAATTCTTCAAAAAATAATATTTTTTCTACCTAATTTTGTTGATGAGCTTGCTCTGTTAAATACCTGAACTCTGAGGTTCAGACAATTAAAAGAGAGAGTGAAGCTAACCAAAAAATGGTTGCATTAATACTTTATATTGTTATGTCACATTGAGTTTGATAGGCTTAACATCTTGAGGTGAATGGAGAAAGTTGTGGTATCAGATCTTACAAGATAACCTATAGCAGCTTCTAGTGCCTGAGAATATTAGTCGAGTTGTGCTTATTTTTCTTGTAACATTAGTTTACAATTGCTATACAGTATACCATATATTGTTAAAGTGCTGATTTTCTAATTTTTCTGCACAGCTGTGAAGCGCTTGTTTCGTGAAGCTAAGGAGCTGCACGAGGCAACTGAAGAGTATTTTGCCCAGCCTCTCGATGACAACCTTTTTGAGTGGCATTTCACTGTCAGGGGTCCTGCTGACTCTGAGTTTGATGGTGGCATCTACCATGGTCGGATAATAATGCCTGCTGATTACCCCATGAAGCCTCCAAATATTATATTTTTAACGGTAAAGGCAACTGGTTTGAGTCTCTTTCAACATGTTACATCCTCCCAACCTAATCTGAGTTTGATGTAGTGTGAATTTTCTATCCCTATTAGGGTACATAAAGCATTATTTACCTTAATGTATTGTATATTTCTTTTGTATGTGAGACTGCCTCTACTGTATATAGCTTCAGAAAACCTGGAGTATCATACATATAGTACATATTAGTATATGCTAATTTTACAGAGACATGCTGATTCTTAGACATAGTATCACCTCTGGCATTTTTTGTCAATTTTTAAAGTTCCCATCTTCAATACAGTGATGTACAGTAGTTAGTGTGTCATGTTACTGTATTGTTTATACAGATTCCAGTGGTTGTAGTACATACTGGTAATACCTCATCTTGGATTCCATAGATATGAAAAAATATTTTCTATTAGATTACAGTATTCTTCTGGTACTTGTTTTATCTTAGTTTACATTTGTGGCCTCTTGTTGTCTGTGGATGGCACTTAGTTATCTTACTGTTTTAGTTATCTTATTCTTTTAGTTATCTTATTCTTTTTTTCTCTAGCCCAATGGACGGTTTGAGACTAATAAAAAGATCTGCTTGAGTATATCTGGTCACCATCCGGAAACATGGCAGCCTTCCTGGAGCATTCGGACAGCACTCTTGGCTATCATTGGCTTTATGCCAACTCCTGCTAATGGCACTATAGGCTCACTGGACTACACAGCTAGTGAACGTGCTAAGCTAGCCAAAAAGTAAGTCGATTTAGAGTTAAGGCAAACTGATGCAAAATACTTTAAAGAGAAGCCTGCTTTACATTTTTATTTGCTTTACTCTCAGTGTATTTTTATTGGACCACAGACACACATTTATATATTTTCCTAGTTGTCATTAAAAATATGGGGCTGGTGTTTCGGTTTATATTGAGAATTATGCTGCATGAGTACAATTGTGTTTGTTTCATACCAAACGTGTTAAGGGTTATTAAGATAATGTACACCATTTGAAGACGATGAAAAAAAATATATACGTACCACTAATTCTGCAATGATTGTGTAATTGTATGCTTTGTAAACTGAAAAAAATAAGTACTTTTCTTACAAGTAAACCCCTATACTGGGTATGTCAGAAACTGTACAAGAGTACAGTACTGTAATAGCTGCTTATTTGTTAGTTTAATATGCAGCTAATGGCAGTGTATCTATAACTTTAGCCTTCTTTATAAATACTGTAATAGTTTGTTGCTACACCTCAATTATTGGGAGCGCTTGAGGTTCCTAAACCTGTATTCCCTGAAACGCAGAGGGAGAGTATACAAATTAAAATTTCACCTGGAAAAATCCTAGAGGGATAGTACCGAACTTGCACAACGAAAATCACTCAGTACGAAAGCAAAAGACTTGGCAGATGAGCAACCATCCCCCCAATGAAAAGCAGGTGTCCTAGCACGTAGAGTACCATACAATAAGGTTCGGGGCCCGAGACTGTTCAACTGCCTCCGCACACATAAGGGGATTACCAACAGACCCCTGGCAGTCTTTTAAGCTGGCCTGGACAAACTTATAAGTCAGTTCCGATCAGCTCGCTGTGGACGTATGTTGGTTTGCGTGCAGCCAGCAGCAACAGCCTGGTTGATCAGGCTCTGATCCACCAGGAGGCCTGGTCTCAGACCGGGCCGCGGGGGCGTTGACCCCCGGAACTCTCTCCAGGTAATATTGTCATTAAAAAAACTGGATGACGTCTAATAGTACATGAGAAAAATCCCTTGTTTATACAAAACATTTGGGGTTATGTAGAATGAAATACAAGTGTATACTTTGTATGCAAAATAAAATTTTGATAAAAAGTTTATTGATGTCATTGTGTGTATTTTTCTGTATAAATGATTTTTGACTTTCAGATCCTTGGAGTATGAGTGCCCTCAGTGTGGGAGTATAAACTTGCTGCTTAAGGAGAGGACAAGCAACAATAAAGAGCTTCAAGAAGAAGCCAGAGAAGTTATGGGTCAAGTGGCTGTTTCTGTCGGGGTGAGTTTTTTTTGTGTGTCTTAAATTGTATTCATTTGCCATTAGATTATTCTGACAATAACATAGTGAATCTCTTTTTATTTGCTGCGGATTTTTAATTTGTTGAGTGGTTGATAAACATATTTCTTTTATCCTAGGTGGAAAATAAGGAAGAAAATGAAGATGCTTCAGTATCCAGAAAAGAATCCAGCGGCACAAGTGACTTAATGGCGCCCCGTGATCAGTCTAGTACAGAGGTGACTGCTGACATTTCTAGCTCCTCTGTGCCTGCCAATAGTAAGAATACCGAGTCACACTCGCTGCAAGCAACCAGTCAGACTACACTTCCTGGCAATAGTGCTTCTCTAGCTCTCTACCAGCAGTGGGTGGAAACTCAACTCCTGAAATATTAATGGAAGGTGCAGATGCACACAATGGCAGAAGAAATCCCATATCAGTTTCAAATCAAGGCTATATGTATAATTTGGTGTTGTCATCCGCAATTTTTCTGTTTATCGGCCTTGTGGTGAGGAGAATATTTCTTTTGGAAGGGGAGACATCAGATGAGCTTGATGAGGTTCTACTCTGATGTTAGTGGCTTACACTTTTCATCCCTGTGATTGGCATCTTTCACAAATGTTGTTAGTTGTCAAGTTTATAAAATTTCCACCAGTGTGCTGTATATAATGTACTACATTCAGAAATAATATTTAACTAAGCTAATTTCCTTATACTATATATTTTTTTGTTTATTTAAGCGGTGCTCTTCAACAATGGAGTCCTTTGAGTTTCAGATAATGCTTTATTTCATGGATTATTTTTATATTACATAGATTAATTATTGTGTGCAGTAAAATACTTAATTCCAGGACCCACTGTTGAAAGTAATTCACATTGCCCTAGGGGAGTAACCTGATGCTGGTGAAGGGCTCTAGATCCAAGAAATTGGCACTGCCCTTTTCCATGGATCAAAAGTTAATTACTTCCCATGTCTTAAGTGCTATATGACCCCTATGGGTTTATGCTTCCCCATGAATATGATTATTTATATTATTACATGACTGAGTTTGATGATGGGAGTTAATAAAGCTTTGGTTATGGTTAGCATTTGTTGATTCTATAGACTTGGATGAACTATGCTTTGAAACTTGGTGTTTGTTCTTACTTAAAACATCAGAAGTTTGTATGTGTTTTGTTTCAGTGTTCAGATATAAAGAAGCTGTCATGCTTGGCTAAGATTTAAATTTAGAATTCATCAGATGTTATAATCATTGTTGTAATGTGTGTGTGTACTGAAAATTGGCAGATTTTGTGAGCATTGTTGGTAATTTTGGATACTAAATGAAGCATACAGTAAAGGTGCTTATAGCATTGTCTTTTAATTTAGAATATGACACTTTGGTTTGAAGAAGGCTGGGCAGCCTTGTGTGACGAGTCTGGTCTTGTTGGCCTTTTTAGCTAACGAAAGTTCAGTAAGCCTTTGTGATAGTACTGCATTCACCATGGATTTTAATGTATTTTCACCCTCCATTTATCACAAGGTTAAATTGTTTATTTTTTTATTGGAGTTTGGCCTGGTTGAGTTAAATATCTTGAATTAAATATGAGAATCATGGAGTTGTACTAGAAATGTTGACCGAGCTAGAAAAGTGAAACAGAATTTTAAGAAAATTTTAACAGGAAATTTGAAGCATATTTAATACAATGAGAATTAATTTATTGCCAAAATTCATTGTAACCACAATTCACCTTCATAAGTAATAGTTTGGCTTTATTGATCACAGTAAAATCAAGGATACTCTTTCATGTGTTAGCAGGTAGAAACAAAATTAAAGAGCATCAGCCATTACCAAACGCTTCTCGAAGTTCTGGAAAACAAAGGTGTTTGGGAAGACATAAGGTGGTTCACCAGTTTATTTCATGGAATGGTTGGAGTTTGGTAATGAGGATAGAACAGCAGTCTGTTAGCTACAGTGGTAACATTCAAGAGAGGTGACTGCAGTGTGAATATTACATGGTCATTTGTGAAGAGGGGCATGCACCTCTTTTCTTCTGGCTGCAACAGCCATGGAAAAGAAAAAGTAAAGCATCTTTGTGATGAAGCTAATGATTTAAGATTAGATGTGAGGTCAGCTGGTCTGATAAGGTAATTATCTTTTCTTAAATTACATTACAGTGGACCCTCAACTAACGATATTAATTGGTACTCGAGAACGAATATCGTTAGTCGAGATTTTTTAGCGTTAGTTGAGGCAAAATGTTAGCGTTAAAATGTATCGCTAGTCGGATTTAACGTTAGATGATGCCATCGTTGGTCGAGGGTCCACTGTATATGTTTTAGAAAGAACAAAGAGGCACAATACCGTGTCTAGAACAATACACAAATGACCCACACATAAGAGAAAGAAACTTGTGACGATGTTATGGTCTGACTTGGACCATTAACTAGTCTCAAACACAAGCTTCTTTCTCCTATGTGCGGGTTATTTGTGTATCACAAGTTTTAGTAGATCAGGAGTCTCAAATAATTGAAAAGAAAATATGGAACTGACTTTCTGCCACCTGAATGTAGGGCCCATTTATAATATAAGGTGTTTTGTCTGAAACCTTAGTCCCCATTCTCTTGTCATAGCTCTGTCCTTTTGTCTTCAAAAGGATAACCTTACCATTGATATTATGATTGTTTAGAATTGTTAAAATACAGTATTAATGACCAGTAAAGAAAGTGCATCAAGCCCTACAGTATGTATGCATATATTTTTTCTAAATACGTACTGTAAACACGACCCTTTACTTTACTGTACTGTTGTGTGTGTTGGTTCTTTTTTTCGTTCCTTAGCTGCACCAGCTATCTTGTTGACATATACAGCCCTGTACACCAGTCTTATTTGTCTTTCATTTCATCTTTTTTTGAATTGGCTGTTTCTAACCAAGACAGATTGACCCAAAGGAGGAAATATTCATCATTTATTCTCTAAATGTTTTTCCAGAAGTGCACAGACAATAATAATAATCTTTATTTTTACAAGTACATGTACAAGGTATACAGACCTAGCTGACATCAGTGACATACTACTGTATAGAAAGATCCTTGGTATGCAGAGCATTTCGGGCAAATTAGGTAAATTTTGTCCCCAGCATGTGACCCACACCAGTCATCAAACACCCAGGTACCTCTTTTACTGAGAGGTGAACATAGGCAGCAGGTGTTTTAAGGAAACACGTCGTGACGTTTCCACCCGTACCAGGGATTGACCCCTGGACTTGAGTGTGTGAGTTGAGTGCACTAGCAATCAAGCTATGAGACACGTTCAAACCGTCCAAACTACATCATCCCCCCCACCTTTTCTTCAAAGCACCTCTTGAAATATCATATCCTCAATACTGTACATCATTTAAATTTCTCTTGGGTTTCTTAATTTCCCAACTGCTTTATAACCTATATGGGTTTAACACTTTTTTTTTTTTAGTATAATGATAATTATTTAATCAGTTTTTATAACCTTCAAGAGAGAAATAGGAAAGTATAACCAGGCAGTGTGTCTGCCTCAAGCTTAACAGATGAAGCATCAAGCCTCTGCTATTCTTCGTGCTGAAGGTCCCATGCTGGTTTAGCGCATTTCGTAATATAAATTTTAAATTCTTATCTACAGATATACAGTGGACCCCCGCTTAACGATCACCTCCAAATGCGACCAATTATGTAAGTGTATTTATGTAAGTGCGTTTGTACGTGTATGTTTGGGGGTCTGAAATGGACTAATCTACTTCACAATATTCCTTATGGGAAAAAATTCGGTCAGTACTGGCACCTGAACATACTACTGGAATGAAAAAAGTTCGTTAACCGGGGGTCCACTGTAATTGTAATTATCATCTCTATATAATTAACACAACCTTAGCTATATGCAGTATGAATTTCATACCATTGCCTCTCATTTACTGATGTAGTCAGTGTTACTTCTAAGTATGGCAGATGGTGCTTGCTCATGTTTTCAAATATGTGGGAAGTGTTATTTTTCAACATTTGACACATACTTATTTTGATTCTAATTTATAAAGATTTTGTTCCTTTTAACATGTTTTATTGAAATGTGTGAAGAAATATTTCTTAAAAAAATAAAGTCGTCAGATTATACAGTGAAAATATTTTGTCCTTGCTGAGTTTTCATTTTTTCTTTTTAGTCAACAGGCTGAATAGTCTAACAAAATGCAATCATATTTTTCTCTTGCTTGATGATACACTATATTTTTTTTTTTTTTAACAAGCTAGCCATCTTCCACCAATGTAGGGTAACCCCCCAAAAAAAACTTTCGCCATCATTCGCACTATCACTGTCTTTGCAGAGGCATGCAGATATGACAATATAGATGTTACTCTAAACAGTAAATATCCCAAACCCCCTCCTCTAAAGTGCAGAGATTGTACTTTCCACTTCAAGTCCAGCTAACTGGTTTCCTTGAATCCTTTCACAAAATATTACCCTGCTCACACTCCAACAGGTCATCAAATCCCAAAAACCATTTATCTCTATTCACTCCTATTTAACATGCTCACACATGCATGCTGTATGTCCAAGCCCCTTGCACACACATCCTCTTTTATCCCCTCCCTCCATCCTTTCCTAGGACAACCCCTACCCCTCCTCCCCTCCACTACAGATTTATACACCATCCAAGTTATCCTATTTTACTCCACCCTCTCTAAATAACCAAACCACCTCAACAACCCCTCCTCAGCCCTCTGAATAATACTTTTAGTAACTCCACACCTTTTAATTTCCACACTACGAATTCTCTGCATAATATTTACGCCATACATTCCCCTTAGACATGACATCTCCACTGCCTCCAACCTCCTCCTCGCTGCAACATTCACAATCCACGTAAACCTTATTGCTTTATTGATAAGGCCTATCAGTGTTGCATAATTCCATTAAAACTGTTCTATTCACTGTTTTCTTGTGAATATAGCCATAAAATTCTGGGAAACCTAATTTTTAACCCTTAAACTGTCCAAACGTAGATCTACATTTACGTGCATAGCTCTGACATTTATTTTCTCCATTTGAAAGCATGTAAAAAAAAAACATAGATCTACGTTTGGAGCGCTACGCACATGAGCATACATCTATGTTTGGACAGTTTAAAGGTTAAATGTTTATCATACTTCCTTAATACAGTATTTATTTTTTTTTTTTTTTTTAAACATCAGCCATTTCCCACCAAGGCAGGGTGACCCAAAAGAAAGAAAAACCCAAAACGAAAGAAAAAATTTCATTATCATTCAGTACTTTCACCATCATTTGTTTATGTACAATGTTACATTATGTAAATTTCATTTTATTAAAAATAGTCTGCTCGAAATGCTCATGCATGTTAGTGGCTTTCTTATTATTTTATAACATGTAAATCTACATTGTATAATTTGCACAGAAATAAAATTTGTATTTGTATAGTTGGTATTTTGGTGAGTTAGACACAGTAGTTACTTATTTGAATTTGTGAGGTGGGGGAGAGTTCCATGTTTAAAACCTTGGGAGAAAGCACTAAACCTTTAGGGATTACATAACACTTGGAGAATGGGAGGCACACAAGTTCGATTCAAGGAAGAGGATAAGTCCAGTTTCTTAGATTAAGATCCCTTTACCAGCATTAATCCACCTCCCTTGAGGGAAGGTGGCTTAATGCTGGTAAGGGTGGTAAGGGAGTTTGTGGGGGTATACGAGTACAGTTTCATTTTTGCTTGGTTATTCTAAATATTTTCTTCATATATGGAAAAATATTTAGTTTGATCTCTAGACTGCACCTTTTTTTTTTTTTTTTTTAACAAGTCGGCTGTCTCGTACTGAAGCACGGTGACAAAGGGTGTACATTTAACATATCGAAGTTTCCTACATTGTAAAATAATGCTGTAAATTTGCCTTTTTGCACATACAGTGGACCCTTGACCAGCGATGGCATTGACTAACGATAAAATTGGGTAACGATGCATTTCTGCATAAAAATATTGGCTTGACCAATATTCGTCCAAACATTCGTCCCAAACGTGTCCACCTGTCCGTCCAGCCTGAGCGCCTCAGCTGTCCTGCCTTTAGCTAGTGTGACATTGTTTACAAGCCATGGTGGACAGTTCCACGCATACATTTGATACATTTTGTATTATTCCATTGTTTTTAGTGCTTGTAACTGCTAAATAAGCCACCAAAGAAAGCTTCTGGTGCCAACCCTGTGGTAAAAAGGGTGAGAAATACTATCAAAATACTATCGTACCACGGTCAGCTGTTGCTGCACCACCGTCGGCTGCTGCTGTACCACCATCAGCTGCTGTTGTACCATGGTCAGCTGCTGCTGTTGCTGCACCAACATCAGCTGCTGCTGTACCATGGTCAGCTGCACCACCGTCGGCTGCTGCTGTACCACCATCAGCTGCTGTTGTACCATGGTCAGCTGCTGCTGCACCACTGTCAGCTGCTGCTGTACCACGGTCAGCTGCACCACCGTCAGCTGTTGCTGCACCACCGTCAGCTGCTGCTGTACCACCGTCAGCTGCTGCTGTACCGCGGTCAGCTGCTACTGCACCACCGTTAGCTGTTGCTGCACCACCACCAACTGCTGCTGCACCACCGTCAGCTGTACTACTCAAAGATGTGGAGAGAGTGTTGTTGGTATGGCTTAACGAGAAACAATTACCAAGAAACGATTAACCCCAGAGGGTTAGCCACCCAGGATAACCCAAGAAAGTCAGTGCATCATCGAGGACTGTCTAACTTATTTCCATTGAGGTCCTTAATCTTGTCCCCCAGGATACGACCCACACCAGTCAACTAACACCCAGGTGAACAGGAAAAAGTGCCTGGAACTAGTGCTCATATTGGTGAATTTAAGGCCAGCAAAGGTTGGTTTGAGAGATTTAAGAATCGTAGTGGCATACACAGTATGATAAGGCATGGCGAAGCTGAAAAATTCCAACCCCAACAAGTGTTCAATTGTGACGAAACAGGCCTGTTCTGAAAGAAAATGCCAAACAGGACCTACATTACTCAGGAGGAAAAGGCACTCCCAGGACACAAGCCTATGAAAGACAGGTTAACTCTCATGTTTTGTTGTAATGCTAGTGGGGATTGCAAAGTGAAGCCTTTACTCATGTATCACTCTGAAAATCCCAGAGTGTTCAAGAAAAACAGTGTCTCATCACTCATCAATACTCTTCAATAAAGGTAAGTGTCATTTTAACATTTATTTATGTATTTATTGTGCATGTCTCATTGTTTTCTTTGTAGGGAAATGTATATTTCATGTAAAAAAATTATTTTTTTTAATACTTTTGGCTGTCTGGAACAGATTAATTGAATTTCCATTATTTCTTACAGGAAAATTAATTCGGCTAATGATAAATTCGGCTAAAGACATGCTCTCTGGAACGGATTAAAATCGTTAGTCGAGGGTCCACTGTATATTGACAAGTTATGATTTTATGAAAATTGAAGTACAGGCAGTTAGTTCGTAGAGCAAAAATAATATATTGTGCAGTACAGTACATACTATATAAACAGCAGTTATTATATTAAAATTCAATTTATCAAGAAATGGGAAATGTCACAGACATTAGCATAATGCATATATTATACAGTACATTTTGTTTGTTCCAAGCAGGACATAGAGACATGTGTTCAAGTTTAAGAATTTTATAATTCAAGTTCTTAATAAGAAGGAAAGACCATGGGTTTGTTTATCTAGTCAAATCTTCAGAGTTGAGTGCTTGTACTATGCTCTTACATAAGTATTAATTTCTTGAATAGCAGGCTTAAGAAAAAAATGTTAAGGGGTCTGTGTGGGTTTAGTGCTCTTTTTGTGAATATAGAGCACTGAATGATCCACATGGGTTTAGCACTATTTTGTGAGTTTAATAGTAATTCAAGTGATTACAGCTTACTCCTTAGTGATAAATAAAATTGATTTTACTCACCTGTATAAGCATTGTCAAGAACTTGGGAGTAAGCTAATGAGTGAGGACTTTTTCATTTATAAAATTGGCAGAAAAATTGTTCTGTATCAATCAGCCTTTAGAATAAGGGATGATAGTGTTGGCATCAAGTACATGTACAATAGATCAACCAATTGCCTCATACTTGCAGCAGCTGGAACCTTCAACCAAGTTTATTGGGCGATGCAAATTCTTATGAAAATGTCTCGATCCTTGATGCACACTCAGTGGCATTACATAAGTGTTAGAGCCTCAGCTCTTGTGATTAAATGGTGGTGGTTAGCATATAAGTACACATGTGAAAGAGATGTATTATTTTGAATTATGCAGAGATGTGTAGAATTATGATATAAATAAGCCTCCATGGATAAAATATAACATGATGTAAAGAGCACTGTATATTACAGCTTAGCACTCGGGGCCCTCTTCAGGGGATCTCAAGTTGCGTGACCCATGAGGGTTTTATGCATATTCTTGAATACAGTTTAATAGTAATAATCAGCAGACCTTGGTGTAAAACCAAAATACAGTACAGTTCTTTTTATATTCTGTTTAATTTGATCTGTGTAGGTTCACTTCTGGCACTGACTAATGTTTTTTACACTTGTGTTGCGTAATTGTTAATGGGAGTAGATTTACATGTATTTTAATGCTTACATGCCTCAAATGTATGTGTGGAACTAAGCATATAGCAGAGTAACCTTGACTGTTGTATGAAGGTAATTCAAAGATATAATTTAGGCCTTATTTTATTGTTATTACTGTATATATTTAGTTAGGGAACTCCAAATAGGCCAAATACTTCATTACCCAAGATGACTTGCCTAAATGTAAGACTTAATTGTGAAAGAAAAAGGCACGTAAAGGGAAAAAAATAAAGCTATGAGTGCTACAGTGAGTTTAAAATCCAATTCTTTATTTCAAAATTACTGTACATTCAAAGGATACAATAATCTGAAGACCCAGAGGACTCAGCATTACAGGCAAAACTTAATCTAATATGAAAACCTGCATAGTTTCATTTTTTGTATGCATCTAAAACATGTTATTAATAGGATACGGCCGGTGTGCCGAGAAAAAATTATGCAATACAAGTTCTCTAGATTTTTTTTGTAAACATGGATATAATGAGTTAAGAACAAGGATAATACCATGTAAAATTGATGGTAAAACAGCTATGGCCGAAAAAAATGGAGCATATGATACAATATTTTTGAGTAGGGAAAATGGAACCGAGAAATAATGGAGGATGAGTAATGGGTGACCAGTTGAAGCAGATCCATGGTGAAATAATGACCAGTAAGCATCCAGTGCTGTATGACCTTTATGGGTTTAGCGCTTGGTTATGATTATAATAATGTAAGTTGTCCTGACACTAAATGTATTCTACATGAGGGGGTTCCCAACTAGGGAGGAAATTTGGATATCTCAGGGAAGGGGGGAGAGGGAGAAAGAGATGAGGCCAAAATGACCAAAGTAGCTTTTTTGATAGTTTATGAGCAGGTGGTAAAGGTGAATATCTTATGTTAGTGTTGGAGGAGGGGTAAGTGTTGAATATGAGGGTGGTGTGTAGAGTGATTTATAGCGTATATGTGTGGGGGGGGTGCTTGTAGGGTCTGTTCTCAGCTCCTGGCCCTGCCTCTTAAACTTGCCACTTTCCAGTCTCACCCTTGTAGCCTCTTGGGGCCAATTGTACTTGCTCATAAAACTAGGCTGCTCAAGGGAGGTTCCTTGACGTTGGTGAGGGGCTCTTGATCTAGGGAATTGGATCTGTGCTCCAGGTCCCTGAATTAAGCCTGAATACCTTCCATCCTCCTCGCGGGTGATTTATAAACCTACGGGTTTAGCGCTTCCCCATGATTATAATAATAATAGCCATAAGACTATATATTGGGCCTACCTCCACCACTTTCTCACCAAGATCATTCCACTTCCCCACTACTCTGAGACTGAAGAAATACTTCCTAACATCCCTTTCACTTCAGCTGTGTCCCCAAGTTGACATTTCTCTTCTCTGAAACAGCCTATTCCTGTCTACCTTATGAATTCCTCTTGAGTATTTTGTATGTTGTAATGATGGTTTCCCAGGTTCTTCTGTCCTCCAATGTCTTTAAGTTACAATTCCATTAGCCTCTGTCGTAGTTGATACAGAAGATGATGCCCAGAAGTGCAGAAGATGATGCCCAGAAGTGCAGAAGTTCATGCCCAGAAGTGCAGAAGTTCATGCCCAGAAAGTGGAGAAGTATGCCTTGTTGCATACTTCTGAACTTTCTTTGGGTTTAGCGCATAGTTTCGATTGTAATAATAATAATTCTCCAGTTTCTTAACATTATTATTTCAGATATGGGCTTCATACTAGTGGTACATACTCAAACATGAAGTTAGACCAAGAGTTGTCTAAGACACTAAAGTTTGTCTACAGTCTAGTAAAATTAATTTGAGAATTAAGGAGGGCAGTGTCGAAAGCAATGGTAGTGAGGTTAAAGAGATGATGTGGTAGAGAAAAAAAAGAACACATTGACATACTAAACTACAGAACATACATATGAGCAAGGACCCCAGTGAAAATAAGTCACTTTGACTTTTTTTGGGTTATCCTTGGTAATTTACACTTATGTTCCCCTTAAGGGAGGTTCCTTGATGCTGGTGAGGGGCTCTTGATCTAGGGAATTGGATCTGTGCTCCAGTTCCCTGAACTGAGCCTGAATGCCTTCCACCCCCCTCCCCCATATGCGCTGCATAATCCTATGGGTTTAGCGCTCCCCATGATTATAATATAATTACACTTATGTTAGTATCTATGATAATTTTTGTAACTATCTATGTGTTCCAGGGGTCAACATCCCCATGGCCTGTCCATGACCAGGCCTCGTGGTGGATCAGGATTTGATCAACCAGGCTGTTACTGCTGGTCGCACGTAAACCAACCTTCGAGCCACAGTCCTGCTTGTCAGGTACTGACTTTAGGTGTCTGTTCAGCTCCCTCTTGAAGACAACCAGGGGTCTATTGGTAGTCCCCCTTACGTATGCTGGGAGGCAGTTGAACAGTCTTGGACCCCTGACACTTATTGTATTGTCTCTTAGTGTACTCGTGGGGTCCCTGCTTTTCATGGGGAAGATGTCGCACCGCCTGCCGAGTCTTGCTTTCATAGTGCCTTTCTAATCTTGCTACTTAAGCATTGATTTCTGGGGTAAGTAAGTTTACTCAGGTATACACAAATACAGTTACATAGATTATCATACACAGCAGCATATGTGTAGAGAACCTAGGATAACCCCCAAAAAAGTCAAAGTGACCTATTTCCATTGGGGTCAGCACCCCCTCCCCAGGATAGGGCCTCAGAGGAGGCCTGGTGTGGGAAAGTTCAGGATGTGACCTCACTGAGGTACACATTCACCCACACTCATCATCTTAATATCTTTACCATTCTGCTACTCTTATTTCACCGCTGCATAATCACGCTATCTTCTCCCATTTTTTTTTTTTACTATTAAAGTCTTCCACATAATTACCCCTCAAGGAAGGTTCCTTGACGCTGGTGAGGGGCTCTTGATCTAGGGAACCGGATCTGTGCTCCAGTTCCCTGAATACTTTCCATCCCTCCACAGGCTCTGTATAATCCTACGGGTTTAGCGCTTCCCCTTGATTATCATAATAATCCATATAATTACATTAACTGTTCATTACGAGATTATATATATTTAGGCTTATGTTAGGCTATGTCAAAATATACTCCACATAACTGCATTGTCTTTAATAATTAAAATCTATGTAATTTACATTATCTAATCATATTATATTACATTACCAGATTATATTATATACTGAGGTTAATATTAGGTAATAACGAATTAACGTGATATTATTTCTCCATTTATTTTCTTCTGCTCGATGCTCTTTGCGCTACTGAAAAAAAAATCCAAAGTGTTATTACAGCCTAGTCATATGAAAGAAAAAATAGAAGCCAGTTAAACGTTCTGTAATCTTGTCAGAATTGCTGTCATTTCTGTCTCGTGAAAATTTCTAATGACAGGAAAATCTTGTTAGCATGTACGTATACTCGCTCCAAGTTTGTACTTACACTCTTCTGAGTTATTTTAATTATTTTTTACCGCCAGGGCGGCTAATTTATGACACCCGCAGCTCATTATGTGAGGAATGGAGGAAAATAAATGGGCCTTGACTAAGCCGAATTTTTAAAGTGGTGGACTGGTAAGCCAGCGGAAGGCCTCGGTCAGACGACCAAAACTTCCAGTGGTGGGTCATCACCATGACTAACACCCGCGTCAGGATTCTGTTTCCTGACTAATGTTGCCTAACCATGATGACAGCTTTGAAGGGACTTGAGATAGAGTTCGCCACAGTCACGCTGGTGTGGAATTCATCCGTAAAGACCTGCTTTTGTGGTGAAACTGGGGCCCATGCTAACCTTCCTATAATGTATAGAAATATACCTAATTGAATGATTCTTATTAGAGCCAACTGGCTCAGTGGTTAACGCACTGGCCTGTGAATTTTAAGACTCGCCTACCATGGGTTCAAGTCCCATCCGTTCCCTGACTTTCCTAACCTAACCTGATTGCCCTCGCATCATCAAATTAGTATTTAGTTGATGCATAATGTGAATACGCTCAGTGTTCCAGATATACAAATAAAGTCACGTGATCATTTCTTAGATTACAGCCTCGTCGTCTAATTGTTAATATATCTGGAATCAAGAATAAATCCCATGATGCTGTTGGACACCCATCATGTGATGAAGTAAGTTTTCATTTAGGCCTCTTAATATAATTTTAAACTTTTACAATAGTTTCATATATTATGAAGAAGATGAACACTGAAGTCAAGCAAAGTGACTTATTTCCATGATGGTAAATGATAACATACTGCTCCCACCAACTTCCATAGGATCATTCTACACTACTGTTCCTCCTACAGTATAAAACTCGTATAGAACAGTATCCTACAGTATAGAACTCGTATAGAACAGTATCCTACAGTATAGAACTCGTATAGAACAGTATCCTACAGTATAGAACTCGTATAGAACAGTATTCTACAGTATAAAACTCGTATAGAACAGTATCCTACAGTATAGAACTCGTATAGAACAGCATCCTACAGTATAGAACTCGTATAGAACAGTATCCTACAGTATATAACTCGTATAGAACAGTATCCTACAGTATATAACTCGTATAGAACAGTATCCTACAGTATAGAACTCGTATAGAACAGTATTCTACAGTACAAAACTCGTATAGAACAGTATCCTACAGTATAGAACTCGTATAGAACAGTATCCTACAGTATAGAACTCGTATAGAACAGTATCATACAGTATATAACTCGTATAGAACAGTATCCTACAGTATATAACTCGTATAGAACAGTATCCTACAGTATAGAACTCGTATAGAACAGTGTTCTACAGTATAGAACTCGTATAGAACAGTACATAGCTGTGCTGCTGGTGTTCCCACCATGTACCTCACATGGAAACGTGCAGCCGCACGCTACGGGTGTTCCCACATAACTTTTTCTGCTTAATTGAAAAAGCCATGGGCACGGTATGAGTGACGCAAGGAAACTAGTATTTTTTTTTTAAAGGTGTGGGTGTGTGGGAAGAGTTGCTGGGTGACTTGTGTGAGAGGTGAGGTTGAGGTTGCTAGTACACAGCAGTGTGGAGTCAGCAGGCGAGCTAGAAGCAACTTACTATATATCTCTCCTGCCTCCACTCATCTCCCTTTACTACTGTCTTGTGCCCTCGCTGTTGAAATAAACTTATACATTGTTATTGTGTAATTATTGCATGAAGGAGAAGCGGACTTACCAGTGTTACAAGGAGATACTTTTATTTTTATAAGGTAAGTGTAAATGGTTCTTAATGGGAAAGTTTGGTTTAGTTTCCGTTTGGTCTCGTTAATGTCATCCTCATCCGCTCAGAATAATACAGTATTTTGCTTTATTTTATTGGTATATGTACAGCATCAGGAGAGGTGTATATATTTGTATACGTTCCTATTTTTCCCACTTTTTGTCGATATGGGAACGTTTGCGTCGCGCCTATATTATATATCAACCAGATGATAGACATCTGTCTGAGAACTTAAAATACGGAGAGATGCATCATTATGTAAGTTTATTTAGGCACAGGTACACATAAGTACAATTATTATACATAGTGTAAATTACTGAGGATTACGGATTATTGAATGAGTCTACTGGCTGCCAGCCTGCAAGCAGGGACTTTAATTAAAAGTTACGTTATAACTTATAACAATACTCACTAAACGTTAGATTTATAATGTAATCCCTGGTGTGTATGTACTGTTACCTGCAGCAGGTAGTCCCACGTAGGCATCACAGCCTGGAGCAGGAGGAAGTGCTTGAAAGAACCAACTACCTTCCCTTTTAACAACAGTGAGAGCTCTGTGTGGTGGTATTTCCACAAGTACATGCAGGGAGAGTTTACTTGTTTTTCTTTTGCCCTTTTTCAGTGAGCTAGTGACACGAATATGGTAGCCAGGTCCTGTTTGGACATAAACACTGGGTCTACTGGCTTACATTAAGGTCTTATACCCACCATTCCCACTCATATACCAGTCTAACCCACTCTGAGATTCCCCAAGATGTTGGCTTCCCTTACACGCTATCTACCACTTATCTACAACTCTGTTGTCACACCAGTGTTCTTTTATATCAGTGCTAACACTGTGTTATTACGAATTGAGTCTTTTGCTGAAAGTGTCTAATTCCTTTACTCTTGGTCTTGGACATCTACAGCGGCAATACTAGTGATAAACGTATAGAATTACCGACAATATGTTAGGTAAACGTTGCCACAATAAAATACCACATTAGTTGCTAATGTGTCCTTTTACCTAACAGAGGCAAAACTCAATTTTTCTCCCTCCATGTGAAAGCCACTCTGTAGTGTGGTCGACCATAGCACAATATGGATACCATAGATGTCTAGTAGTTTACCTGGAGTTTACCTGGAGAGAGTTTCGGGGGTCAACGCCCCCGCGGCCCGGTCTGTGACCAGGCCTCCTGGTGGATCAGCGCCTGATCAACCAGGCTGTTGCTGCTGGCTGCACGCAAACCAACGTACGAGCCACAGCCCGGCTGATCAGGAACTGACTTTAGGTGCTTGTCCAGTGCCAGCTTGAAGACTGCCAGGGGTCTGTTGGTAATCCCCCTTATGTGTGCTGGGAGGCAGTTGAACAGTCTCGGGCCCCTGACACTTATTGTATGGTCTCTTAACGTGCTAGTGACACCCCTGCTTTTCATTGGGGGGATGGTGCATCGTCTGCCAAGTCTTTTGCTTTCGTAGTGAGTGATTTTCGTGTGCAAGTTCGGTACTAGTCCCTCTAGGATTTTCCAGGTGTATATAATCATGTATCTCTCCCTCCTGCGTTCCAGGGAATACAGGTTTAGAAACCTCAAGCGCTCCCAGTAATTGAGGTGTTTTTTTTCTCCGTTATGCGCGCCGTGAAAGTTCTCTGTACATTTTCTAGGTCGGCAATTTCACCTGCCTTGAAAGGTGCTGTTAGAGTGCAGCAATATTCCAGCCTTGATAGAACAAGTGACCTGAAGAGTGTCATCATGGGCTTGGCCTCCCTAGTTTTGAAGGTTCTCATTATCCATCCTGTCATTTTTCTAGCAGATGCGATTGATACAATGTTATGGTCCTTGAAGTTGAGATCCTCCGACATAATCACTCCCAGGTCTTTGACGTTGGTGTTTCGCTCTATTTTGTGGCCAGAATTTGTTTTGTACTCTGATGAAGATTTAATTTCCTCATGTTTACCATATCTGAGTAATTGAAATTTCTCATCGTTGAACTTCATATTGTTTTCTGCAGCCCACTGAAAGATTTGGTTGATGTCCGCCTGGAGCCTTGCAGTGTCTGCAATGGAAGACACTGTCATGCAGATTCGGGTGTCATCTGCAAAGGAAGACACGGTGCTGTGGCTGACATCCTTGTCTATGTCGGATATGAGGATGAGGAACAAGATGGGAGCTAGTACTGTGCCTTGTGGAACAGAGCTTTTCACCGTAGCTGCCTCGGACTTTACTCTGTTGACGACTACTCTCTGTGTTCTGTTAGTGAGGAAATTATAGATCCATCGACCGACTTTTCCTGTTATTCCTTTAGCGCGCATTTTGTGCGCTATTACGCCATGGTCACACTTGTCGAAGGCTTTTGCAAAGTCTGTATATATTACATCTGCATTCTTTTTGTCTTCTAGTGCATTTAGGACCTTGTTGTAGTAGTGGCGATTCTTGCGGGAAGAGGAGGACCGAACACTGATAAATGATTTACTGCTCTGTCTGTAGGGCCCACCGGGCCAGCAGCTTCCCTAGGACACGATGGAAATAAATGGTATAAAATACCGACACAATGGCAATATAAACACAAATGCAGTATGTGATCCTTTATTGACTACGTTTCGCCCACACAGTGGGCTTTTTCAAGTCACAAACAGAACTACCTGGGGTGGAAGGAACGCGAGTATTTTATAGTCCGGCTGAGGTCAGGTGAAGAATGCTGCATCTGATGATGTACCAAGTGGGGTTATAGAGTCTAAAAACTTGGGTAGCTTGGAAAGGAGATTGGATAAGTTTGTGAGCAGACCTTCTACAGTGTTCTTATGTGGGATAGCGATGAAGAAGTTTCTTGGCAAGTGGTTCAGCTATGTTATAGAAGCCACTATTCTGGTTGAAGTTGTCGGATATAGAAATGAGTGATGATTCCAGGATTCTTCGGTATTGAGTGTTGTCTTCTGTGGCGATAAGTCTTGAGTTTCTGTAGTTTATCAGGTGGTTGTGTGAATTACGGTGTTGTACGCAGGCATTCCTTGTGTCGTCAGACCTGCTTGCGTATTGGTGTTTCTGAAATACGTGTTTGGAGGTCCCTTGATGTTTCGCCCACGTATAACTTGTTGCAGTCATTACAAGGGATTATGTATACCCCTGCAGAGGATGGAGGCTTGTCCTGCCTACTACTGGTGATGTCCCTTGATGGTCGTGGTTGTGGAGGTAGATACTTGGAATGATGTTTTGGCAAAAATGTTGGAAACATGTTTGGCAATGGAGTTGGTGGGAAGGACTATGTATCTCTTCTCGGCAGTGTCTTCTCTGGGTGTGTTGAAGATGTTTAATGCTCGCCGTCTGCAGTCTCTGATGAAGTGACGAGGATAGTGGAGTTTAGAAAATATTTGTTCAATTATAGTGCATTCTTCCTCAAGGAACTCGTTGCTGCAGATTCTGAGTGCACGCAGGAAGAAGCCTATAATTACAACCACGTTGGTTTTGGTGTCGTGGTGAGAGTAGAAGTGAGAAAGATCGTTTTTGGTTGGTGGGTTTTCGATAGACTTTAAAACGAAGTTCGTGGTCAGCTTTGCAGAGCAGGACATCAAGGAAAGGAAGAGTGTTGTCGACTTCTTCTTCAAGTGTGAACTGGATTGAAGGCTCGACCTGGTTGAGCTTGTCTTGGAGAGCTTGAACGTTAAAAGCGTTTAGGAGTTATGAGGAGAATGTCGTCAACATAACGGAGCCAGGTGACAGACGAAGGAATAATGGTGGAGAAACGTTCGGCTTCTAGATGTTCCATGTATAGGTTCGCCAGGACTGCACTGAGTGGCGAACCCCATGGGTAGTCCAAAAGTCTGCTGAAAGAGGTGATTTTCGAAAGAGAAACACGTAAAGCCAACACATAGTTCAACAAGGTCGATGAAATCGCTGGCTGGAATGGAAGATCAAGTGAATCGTCAATTTTTCTGCGCAAGAGATCGATGGCTTGTGTAGTAGGTACTTTGGTGAATAGGGAAGTCACGTCAAGGCTGGAAAGTTTCTTGTTCCTGATGTTGATGTTGCGAATGCGATTGAGAAGATCACCTGAGTGTTTGAGATGTGCTGGACTGATAGTGCCCAAGAGTTTAGAGAGGTGTTTGGCGAGAATTCCTGAGAGCTGGTGGGGAGCACTGCCTATTCCCGAGGATATGGGCCTCAGTGGGATACCAGGCTTGTGAGTCTTTGGCAGGCCGTACATTCTGGCAGGTCTGGGGTTGCTGGGCATGGTGTGCAGAAGTTTCTTCCCTTGTTCTGAGCCCCTCAGAATGCGGCGAGTCCTTTGAAGAAAAGTTTTAGTAAGGTTGTCCACTTGGTCATTGTGAAGCAGAAGTCTGCTATAGTGAACTAACCTTCCCCCGAACATGTGAATGTTCATCCACCAGGACTTGAACATATGGACGTTCATCCACTAGGGGTGAACATTTGAATTCATCACCCATATTTTTTTTTTATTCGCCGGTACTCTCCTGCCCCGGGTCTTTTCCAATAGTGGTGACCCGGCCTTGGCTTCCTGTCTGGGGAGTATCTCGAGACCTATGTCTCCTATGGGAGGAGGTGCAAGTACGGAGCTCCTCATCTTTGGGACCAACTGTCCCCAGGCCTAGCCACATTCCCCGCCCTCACGGTGCTCGTAGGGAGAAGCTAGGCCTCTGGTCTGCCATCTGCCCCGCCCCAAAGGGGCTCGTGGGGATGGCAGTCTTGTGAGCTGCAGGTGGTAGCAAGATCAGGCTTACTAGGACGTGCCTAGTATGGGCCGACGGCCCTGCTGCAGTGTTCCTCCTTTCTTATGTTCTTATGTAAACACCCCTCAAGCCTAGAATATTAGTTAATACTTAAATGTTTAGTGCTTCCACATTAATGTAATAATAATGATAATAATAATAATAATAATAATAGACCAGCACACATTATTATTATTATTAGTATTATTATTAATGGGTAAGCAGTCAACATAAGGTCATAAAACACCATGAGAGGGAAGTAATTATGCTTGATCCAAGGAATGACA